GAAACACAATACTGTTGTCATTTTAGCTTTACAAGCAAACTGAATAATGTTAACTTGGTAACAATTGCAAATGATATTGATGTCACATTCACAGAGGCAGTAAAATTAATAATGTTAGTCAATGTAATTATGTAACTGTCAGAGTAACTTTAGAAACATAATGAATACTGTTAATGTATGTAAATATGAATAATGTTCACAAATGCGATGATACTGTCACACTAGCTCGCAGACACAGCATTTATTGTTATCATGAATAATGCACACACATTTTAATGACAAATGTTAACAAATATGATAGTCGCAGTAGCAGAAAACAAATAATAGCGAACAATGCCAACACATGAAATGACATTAATGTTACTTTAGCTGCATGTCACATTAACCAAAAACATTTAACAATGTCACATTAGCTGAAGAAAACACAGTGACTTATGTAAACAAATGTAAATCTAAAAATGTTGTATTCAGCTGTAAGAAAAAAAAACAATAAAATAATTTTAAAAAACAGTAATTACAACAAAAAATTAAACTAAGAAGCTTGGACTAGAACAGCGGTTCTCAATCTGTGGTCGTGACCCCTTCATGGGTCCCCCAAGACCATCGGGAAAACACATATTCACTGAAGTTATGAAGTAACAATTAAAGAGTTTTTATGGTTGGGGATCACCACAATATCAGGAACTGTATTAAAGGGTCGAGGCATTAGGATGGCTGAGAACCACTGGACTAGAAAGATAGTTGAAACAGTTTACATGTTGAGCTGACAGGAGTCTTGACTGTGAGGTTAATCCAACCTTATGGAACTGGCATGACAGTTGTTCCTGAAGGAGGAGGTTGGTGATGTTAAAACAGATCCATTCTTACCAAAATACTTTTGACTGTGGTACAGTACTAAGACAGGACATTTCTGCTTCTTTCTACAACTACAGACAATTACAATTAATTTATTTTGGGTACATGTAACGTTGTCTCCCCACGCCCTGCCAATATACACACTAGCTCACTTCTGTTTGTTTGGTCGTGAGCCTGTCATCTTGGCACAAGGTTAAGGGGGTGGTCCGCAATGCCGCTGATTTTGTGTGTTGTATATTTTAGCACGCCAGCGCCTTCAACATTCCAAAAACATAGAGAAACTGGCCCTAACACAACCCTCCTAGAGAGTGCTGCAGCCTATGTCACTGGCATTCTCTTTCTCGGAATGAAAATGTAAATTCAAGACAACACAGAAAGCAAACAACAAAGTGGGACACATCCATAACCTTCCGGAAAGTCTACCAGCCCAAAAATTTGTAAATAAAAAGTGACCTACTCTATTTGGGGAGATTAACGTTGCTGTAACCTTATTTTGTTTTCTTTACCGTTTCTATGGCTTTAGTAGTTTTCCCATCTGTTTATTCTGCCTCTAAGAAATTATTTATTCATTCTACATTCTTTTTTCTTCTCCCTTCTAACTCCCCATCAACCTTCCACATTGTTTTTTCTTATGTGTATGAATTTTACGATGCAGTCAACCCACAGAGCCTTACTGGTCATCAAATGATCATGCCATTAATGAAGATAAAGTGAAACCAATCTTTTTGTAAGTAAGAGTAATAGTTTAAATCCCTTGCTAAACAAAAATGCTATTTCAAAAACATATTCTTGATTCAACATAAAGATCAAATTTGAAATGGTAAAATAGTTTTTAATTTGGACCAGAATATGAACAGCAGTTTTTGTATTTTAAAAAAAAATGCTGACAATGATGAGCATGAGTTGAAATGGTAATATTTAAATATCATGTCATCAATATGAACAACTAAGGTAAAACTGCACCGAATGTGATACATAAAAATTGCAATTATGTACAAACAGAAACATATGAAAAAAATTGTACACATACACACAAACAATTGTTTAAAAAACCTTCCTTGATATTGATACATTTTTCCCAACAAATAATGAAATGCATATATTTTCTTTAAAACGTGTAAGTAAACGGATTATTACAACCATAATATTGCAGCTTAAAAGAGGATGATTTTTACAAAACAAGCAGTTAAAAAGAAAAAATATGAAGTTAAAAAGTGAATGCATTAATGAACATAGGAAACACCTAATGTAGTCAATGTAAGCACATGAGTAAATGTACCTACTGTTTCTAACTTCATCAGATAAAAACATGTGGATATTTTGAACAGCAAACCCAAAATGATGCCAACACTAGCAGATTTCTGTAAGTTTTGTTATCTTAAACACACTTTGTGTTTTTTTTTTCACTCAAAGTTATTCTGGTGAAAGCAAATCATTTGAATGGATTGTCACTATTGCACGCCAGCCAAGATAATTCTGGTCAGTTCAGTCACCAGAGCATGACAGCACTACCAGCGAATAGGCAAGCAGCTACCTCAGAAGAGACGCAACTGTGCAGCTTCAAAGTCAACTCCAGAGCACATCCCACAAGGCTGCTCGGAAACTGCCAGATTAGTCTAATCAGCCTCACAAGAGCAGCTCTGTGAGACAGATTGAAAACTTGTTAAACTTGTGGTGCCCCTCCTGTGTCAGCAGAGAAAAGAGACCAAATAAAAGAGGTTGAGTATGAGTAGAAAAAGTAGGATGAGAAGGAAAAAAAGGGATGAAGAAACAGATGACTGAATGAAATGTTATGTTCCAAATAGGTCCACATTTCCACTTCTCCTTCTCTCTAACCCCCCCCCCCCCCCCTCCCCCCCACTCTTTTTCCTCTTTTCACACAGACAAAGTAGGAAAGATTTTTGTATTTACTGCTAGGCTTATTCAAGGAAACATATGCTATCATCTAACCACCATAAGCTGTGTGTATATATATATATATCTATTTATATACACACACACACATATATATATATATCTCTGTGTGTGTGCGCAAGTGTAGGCACATGCATATACCTGCTGGAGAGCTGATTACCCATACACATCATTAACACTGTGACTAATCATGACACAACTTTCCTATGCATATATATTATGGTAGTCATAGAGCTTTCAAAATCAAGTTCACTGAAATATTTTAGGAAACTATCTTTACATAATATTCATCCAGAATTTTTCCCTTCTCAGAAAGGACTGGTGCTGACTGTGTGGATGTCCCCATGAAGTGGTTAAGAAGGTGTGTAACACCAGAAGTTTGTGGGTTCCCCATGTGGATTTGCTGCGAGCACATCAAGGTGAAAGCAGCGACATCTTTAAATAAGCAAAAATCGTGTACATCGTGCCCATCTGCAATTGGTCCTTCAGCTGTGTATAAAAAAAAATTTTTTTAAACATCATATAGTCAAGAACCCATTAATTCTCTTTTACAGAATGGTCTTTTTTTTTTCATTCAATATTAAAATGTTTTAAAGGCAAGAGGAAAAGCTGGTCAAGTGGTTCCAATGCTCAGCTCTAATTCTATAGACTAAGGTTTGAATACTCAGTAAAGTGATGACCATTATTTCTACTGGGGCAGAAGAACATCGCAGCCTGCAGTTTGTGGTGACTGCACTAGCCTATGATCCTATATCTTCAAGCTTAAAACCCCTTAACTGCTCCTATACTGACACAAAACAATTATAAATAAAGGCAGAAAAGACAGCACAAAGAGGAATGACATCATCAATCATTAAAGTTAGTCGCATATTCTTTACAGGATGTTGCTGAACAATGCCAGCATTTTAGGCTGTTGCGGTTTTTTCTAGTCAAATTTTAGCTCAGTAGTTTGCCCCTGCTTCCTGAAAGGTCAGCTCTCAGCAGCACTGTTGACCCAATATAGAACAGTCTGCTGGCTAAATGTCTGCATCTGGGATTAAACCCGGTACCCTGTATTATAAAGTGCGTTCACAAAGTCTAAGCCACAGATCATTCAATAACATCCTTGCCCCAGGTTTAATGCGATGCAGCTCCGTTTCTTCCTGCCTGCTGACAGCATCATACAAACCACAAAACCCTGTCAGGTCAACCCCCAGGGAATTCCAAAACACTTGCAGTCACAAACTGCAGAACAGAGCCCAAATATGAGTCGATGAATAAGGGGAAGTTATAATCATAGCTGTTTCACCAGGGTAACTACAAGGTGAAAAGCATGTCTATCTGTCTGCATAAGACATGTTTTTCACCGTACGGTTACCCTGGTAGAGACTAAACAGTTGATTTTGTGTTTCAGTTCGAAGGATTCATTTACTTGCTTCAAGTTAATCAGTATTACTGTAGTATGCACCAGACGGGATACAGTGAAATATGCCAGTCAATAAATTGTGCAATCTATTGTTTGTGGCTTCTTTGTTCAAATTCACAGCGGGAAAACATTGCTCTGACTTATCTGTATGTTTGCTTGAAGGGGGAGCTCATAAAGAATTGGGGGAGGTTGAGGGTGGTAGAAGTATAAAATGAACCAACAATTTCTATTCTGTATGTCCAGAATGCAATGGCAAACTACTGGATGCAAATTTGCCTAGAAAAACCACAACAACCAATTGCTGGCGTCAGTTCTGCAACATCCTGTAAAGGATATGCAACGAACACACATGTTCCGTATGTAGATTTTACCACTACTTTCTAAGACTTTAAAACTTAAAGGTAGCCACTTTGATGTACACGTAAACAATAGGCATAAATTCAATTTCTGTTCTCGCCAACACAACTACATTAGTATTTTTCTTCTTCATCTTCTGCATTTGCCTTTAGAAGAGCGGATGGCATGTCATATCATGGTTTACAGCTAGGCAGTGATATCTACACCTTTCAGCCCAAACAATCTGAGTTCAGCAAACTGTTTTCAGTAGTCACCTGTTATGATCTTCTTGTTACTAGGCAGTGTGTCTATTATTTCTTTTCTCCCTGAACCCACACGGGTGTATTTATAATCAATAAATATAACAAGAAAGACATTAAAAGACATTAGCTGAACAATCATATCAAGGATTTAAAATCATCACAAAGTAATGTTTACACCAAAAAATGCTGCTAGGAAACTTACACAGTATCAACGACACATCTCGACATCAGTGTCCACTTTTCTGGGCTTCCTTGGCAGCCATAATCAGAGGGACCAAACTGGCCAGTGGCTTGGCTAAGCGGAGAAAGGGGTGCTGAGGAGAAGTAAGAATTGCTGATAAAAAAATGTCCGAACTTACGTACCCTCCCATACTTCAACGCTATTTCTTTTTAAACCAACGAATTACACCATGTGCTTATGTTTTCTATAAATACTATAGAATCTTAATAGATAAAATGTAAATTTCATTTTAAATTTTATCCCTGGCCAGTGCAAACTTGGCATCTCCCAATTACTAAATGGTCATACATTTTTTTATTTTTCAGTAACACAAGTGCATTGTATGTATTAGGGGAGAGGTTTTTTTTAAATTTTATTTAAACCTATTTTATTTATCTATACTGTTTTGTCTGAAACAGTATGACCACTGAGTTATTATCTCATCAATCATTAAAGCAAATTTACAGTTTTAGAAGCTTGACATTTAATAAAGACAAGGATTAAACAGAATTATGTTGTGTTACACAAAGGACTGATTTCTTTGTTTAGACATAGAGTCATGATTTAATAAGGTAATGATATGTAATATTTTCTAAGAAAGATGGTAGATTCGGCCGACGCAGGGAGAAAACAAGGTGAAACAACATTTTATTTTTCAACAATAGTTTAAGCGCTCTTCTTATTTGTCACGAACCTATTTCTAAGTCTCGTTATTACAGACCATGTGAAACCAATTCAGCATTTAGAAAGCTACCCTAGTGCTACCTTCTAACACTGGTTACAGCAAATTACACTCACACAAAAGGGCCTACCTCATTCTCAAGAAACAACTTTACACAGTTGCAACACCTTACAGACAAAAGGCCTCCTGCGATCATCACCCATCCTCAGTGAGTGCCTATATCATTGTTAACTTCGCTATTAGTTGTTTGAAATACAGAGATGATAACATCTGCATATTTTTTTGTTTTCTTTTTCTTTTTCTTAGTGTTCACCAACTGTAAACTCTAAAGGAAAAGTTCAGGTTGCTCGTCAACTTCTGGATTTGGTCTTGTTCCACCAGAGTTTGAGTTTTGCATGCACATCCATTTTACATATGGGGCTTATTTATATGCAGATTATTGGTTCCTAGCCTCTCAGGCAGATGCAGACCGACTTTGAAAGAAACTTCCCTAATTGGTCACCTTTTACGACATGCCTGTTAGGGGGGCAGTGAGTCGAATCTATTCTTGTTTTTTCCCTATAACAGAACCCCAAAACCCATGTAGAGAATTTGTTATTTTAACTATAGGTGATTTTAACTATCAAACTATCTCATCTGTAATGGCACCGACCTTGAGCAGCTCAGAAGCAGATGAACGTTTGTCAACATCCACATCCAGACATTTATCCAGGAAGTCTTGGAAGACTGGTGACAGTTTATTCTTTTCCTTGATCTCTGGTTTTCCGTTCGTGGCAATTAGATACAGAGCCTGAGATGAGATATACAGCAGATTATCAAATAATATGAAATGAAAAGTATGAAGTATTAAAAGAATTATATCCATAACAAAAAAAGTGAAAGCACCATACATTTAGGTAGTAAATAGCTCAACCACAGCTGTAATTTGTCAACCTAGGAATAATGCTGACATTATTAACACCCTTAGAGAGAGAAAAAGATCTAAGGATTCTGGGGGGGGCAGTGTGTCAAAATCAATGCTAAGAAGGCCAGAATTGAGATTAAAAGATCTCTCACACCAGAAAAGTCTTGTCAACCAGCACAGGACTGGGACTATTAGCTGCAGGGTGGTGATGTATATTTTGAGGGGGGAAAAGATGGACAATTTGAGGGGGTGGGGAGCGGGGGAAGAGTGCTGTGAAGATAACATAACTCACAACTTATTAAGGCAGTAAACTTCTTCCTGATCGTTCGAGTGACATAAATGAGTTGTGCCTGTCTACAGAACAGCTGTGATATTTGCAACTTCTGGCTGGCACATTCGACTTCTTCAGACATGCTTTATCTGGGTTAGAGTGAGTTTCATGGGACATCTGTAGCCTCATATGTGTGACTTTGTAATCCCCTGATCACACAGGTTGTCCCTGGAGGACCCATCCAGAACAGCCGCGTGCAGCTCAGTCAGCCCACAAGGGAAGGCAGGGGCAGAGCATTAGCATTCCCCACCATCCAAGAAGGCTTCCATAATGCAGAGCCGATACATGGCACTCTGGTACCTGGCTCACCCAAGGAACTGTCACATCCTGCACTTGACTTCTAAACCTCATATCTTTATATTAAGCCTTTCTCTCATACTGGTAATGTAAACAATCTTTGAGAACCGAGATGTTAAAAGTGGCAGAAAAATACCAAGAGATGGATGAACAGCAGTCTGAAAAAAATCAGATGTGTTAGGTTGAAAGGTGCGGATATCGCAAGCTAGCTGTAAACAATGAGACAATGTGCTAACCACTTGTATGGGCCAACACAGAAGAAGGAGGAAACATAAGATGCTGGATTTACACAGCTAACACTTTTCATAAAATATAAATATCAATCACTATGTGATACATGAAAACAAAACAGGTCACAAAAATACACATTGCATTACCCTCAGTGGATTTTCATTAAGATAAGGTGGCTCCCCCTCTATCATCTCTATGGCCATGATACCCAAACTCCAGATGTCCACTTTAGGTCCATACTGCTTTCTGTTAAACAGTTCACATATAAAGGAAAGTGACATCTGTCTGATCAATATTTCTTAAGGTTAACATAGAACGCCTTTTGTCTAGAAAACCCATTTAAAGGTTAATACTTGTAAACATGTTTGCCTAGACATATTTTTTTTTTCAGAGTATGCAAAACAAATCTGGTTGTCATGTCAAATGTGTTTGAAGTTAAAACCAAAGCTTTTTGCCTAGTCGAGTTTTATAAAAGCAATGAGGCAAAAATAGTACAAGTGGCTAGCATACTTTTTTATGGTTAACAGATAATGCTGTGTGTCTAGAGAATTTATTTAAAGGTTAATATCTGTAAAAGTGTTTGTCTTAGACACATTTTCTTCAGCTTATGTAGAACAAAGGCTGTTTGTTTAGTCAAGTTTGATAAAAGCCAATTAGGCGAAAATGATGCTGCAGTAGCCATCAAACTTGCACATCAGTACAACAGGCGTGTGTTCAAATTCACATCACGCCTGAATCTCTCCCCCCCCCCTCCTCATTTCTAAAATGGACGTTAGGATATGTTCTGTGAAGTAATGTTCGCTGGTGTTATAGTAACCATAATACCCACCTGTGTCGATTGGCCCACAAACAAATGAAGCTAGTACTTTATACCAAACAAATCTTTAGACACGAAAATAATGAGTTTTAGCTGTTCGCCTCAAAATCGGGACTTTGGTTCCCAGGTCAACTCCACCTAAAATGGATTCCAGATAATGTCGAGGCAAGTTTGGGCTGCCAGCACAATGCTGTTCACAGCATCAACAGAGTGGAGATTGTCTATACAAATATGAGTCTAACGTCCTTTACCTGATGGGTCACAAGCGTCAAAAGGGTCTTTTACTTCACTTAGAATATGTGAAGCAACAGCTGCAACTGGTATGGTTGTGTGCATTCAAACACACAGTATAAAAGGTTAAAGTCCTTAATGGGGAAAATACGAAGAAAACTCAGGCGTGATGAAACGCTGCAAGCAAAAACTAGAAGCACATTGGAAATTAATTCCAAACAACAACATGCAGCTTTGACAGAACCATAGCTCATCTTAGGAACCAGTTAAAAGAAGAAACATTTTTTTTTTTTCACAACTACCAAGACCAAGACCAAATGGGAAAAAGGAGTAAACTAAATTATACCTGGTTCAGCAGGAAGAAAAAAACTACCAAGTTTTTTTTTTGTTTGTAAATACCTGGTAACAACCTCAGGTGCCATCCAATAAGGTGTTCCCACCATTGTCGATCGTTTACTTTGTTCAGGGGATAGTTGAGCACAGAAACCAAAATCAGCTGCGAAAAGAAACATACATAAAAGTTAATAGCTTCTTTGTCAATAACTACCATACTTTTATTAAATATTTTACAGGGTTTTGTTTATTCTGTCTCATTATTTTCATCAGCAATCTTCACACGCTTTCATTAAAAAGCAAACCTGGAGGAGCTTCAGACACCTTAAAATTTCTACAACCTAATTCAGGTCAGTAAGTTTTATACACTTATTGCAGCTTTTTAAGCAATTAATCATTAAGTAGAAGGTCTTTTACAGAAGACTGCTTCTATCACAGCCTGCCTAAAAAAAACATTGTCCCTTGCCAGCTCTCCAGCCTCACAGACTTTCCTGTCCAAGGTGTCTCTTATGTCCTTGCCCACCTTAGTGCTAGTCGACCCCTGCCTCTCTTACCCAGTACCTTGCCCTCCACTACTATTCTTTCCAAGCCATTGTGACGTTTGATATGGCCAAATTATTTTGAGACAAGATACTGTTTACTAGCTAATGTTCACATCTTTGACAATGTCAATAGTTTGTTTGTTTTTTAAAGTATCTTTCTGCAGCCTTTAGCTCAAAAGCCCTAAATAGCTTCCTTAAAGATGGCAAGAGATTCCACAAACAAGCAGGAAAAAAAAAAATACCTGTAAAAACAAAACCAACATTAACTCACTCAGTTTGACACTGCCATCCATGCCAAGTAAGATGTTATCACTTTTGATGTCTCGATGAATGACCTGATTGTCATGCAAGAACTCCAGAGCTTGTAAACACTGATCAAAAGATAATAATAATTAGCAACATACAGTAACCATAATAATGTGTGTACTTGTGTATATATCAGCAAATCAATTATTTCTAACAGGTAAGAAACAATTATGATATATTAGGAAGTATTAGGAGAATGAGCACATTAGTGAAAAATTATGCAGAAGCTGCTGAGATGTGGTTTTGCGAATGAATGATGAGAACACAGTGGACATATAAAAAAGCATAATGTAGAAAAAAAGGACAATTTGGAAGGACATTATTTAATTTCTGGTGTATGAAGTGAAATCCAACCTGTTTGTAATTTTTGTTGGACTTTTGTTTCTACCTTTTCTATCTCTGACAGAAAAACAAAAAATGTGTAAATGGTACTCTTCTGTAATGTGTTATTAATTATTTGTCATAGTCAATTTCTTTTTTTTATAAATCGTCATACTGCTTTATCTTTCCAGTGTTCTCATCAATACATAAATTGTTAATGTCAAAAGTTTTAAACAGTGACCCTTTCCAGCTGGCTTGTCAGGTACCACACAGGCCTTGTCTATCAAAGATGGTTTCTGAATAGTTTTATCAAATATTAAAGGCCAAAAAGTCCTTTTTAATCTGCAATGTAGCTTGGAGCCAATGTGCACTTGGCTGCTAAGTGGCTGTCCAAGTGTGATCCCCAAATGAGGCTCAGTTGATATATCCAACCAGTAAAGGCACTGACTCATCTCCAGGTGGAATATTCTGGAAAGGAAAGGCAATTAACATTGGAACTGCCACTCCGAACTTCATTTGGCATGGCCTAGAATATGCGAAAGCCTAAAACAGGGCTATCCAACTGGCTGCCCCCGTGAAGGCCCAGCAAGTGGCCTGTAGAACATGCTCAGCTGTATTGTTTTACTGGTCTTTCTATGCTGGGGCAAGAGCCTCTGGCCCGCCCTTATTTCCAAATCTTTGGCGTCTGAGTTAACTCAGTTGAATAGCTCTGGCCTAAAACTTCACATCCTAATGGCAGCACCAGCCACTGGACTTTTGTTTCATCATTGTAACTTATCTATTTACTGACATTTTTTTAAAACCGAACAAAGTGCATTTCAACTTTATGTTCACACACAAACATGCAGAAAAATTTACTTTAATGGAGATACCAATCAAATAATCGATTTTTATATTAAGACACACACTGTGTAAGCACATTAAAAGGTATAAAGAATACAATAATAAAAATTTGGTACACTATTTTCAGCACATTAAAAAAAACAAACATCCAGAACCAAAATTGTGTATCCAGAAATCAGTGTAGTGGGAAACGTAAATTTTTTTTTTTAAATTATTATTATGAAACAAACAGCACAAACAATGCATGCAGGATATGAAAATAATACTACCTCCCTGCAGACAGCTGCTATCTGCCCTTCATCCATGCACGTCTCTGTCACAACATCCGTGAGGGAGCCACCAGCCAAAAACTCCATAACAACCTGCACAATGGTCATTTGAAGAAATCAGAAGAGAATAAAACTACCAGAGAAAGAGAGAGAGAGGGAGAGAGAGAGAGAAAGGGAGAGAGAGAGAGAGAGGGAGAGAGAGAGAGAGAGAGAGAGCGCACATGTATGGAGGGGGGGGGGGGATACATAAACCCAGGTTTCTGTGAAGCTTGTAGATAGTTCTTTAGCATGAGGTCCCTGTATATCCACGAAGCTTCTGCTCATTAGAGGGTTCAATTCATTTGATAGAGCCATGGTAGTGCAACCACGATTAATGTCTAGTTGAGGGTCAATTTTGTCCCCTACAGTAAACAACTGACTCAAAGGGAAAGAATGGTAAACACCATATTATAATACTGTGATCCATCTATACAGTAGTACAGACAGACATAGTACAGACAGACATAGTACAGACAGACATAGTACAGACAGATATATTACAGAGACATAGAACATCAGACATCTTAAGCATGAACATACATGAGGCAGATAAACAAAGCTTTCTGACCCAGATCAGAATTAGTAGAGGACCCATGTTATGCCACTGTGGCATGGGGTTTATAATGTTAAGACACATTATTGTAGACCACTTGGTAGTTGATGAGGCTATCCTTACTTCCCAGGGCATTACCTGGTGCCCACTTTCAGCTATGTCGACCTGACAGCCAAGGTCAATTTCTGAAAAAAATCTGACACAATGCAAACCCTAGAACCTTTTGGTCAGTAGGTGAAAGCAAGAAATGTATTTCCATGCTTTGAGGAACACTTAGCATATCATTCTAGCCCCATATTTGTAAAAGACTATTTGGCCCTCACTGTTACAGGGTGATGTGGACAGCTGCCTTAACTTCCCATGGCATTTCCTGGTACCCATTTAAACAGAGCTGACCTGGGAACTGAGGTTAGTTTTGAAATTTGCCTCAATGAAGATTTAAATCTAAAACCACTGGGTCAACACATAAAGCATGCAAGCTACTGCAGCTCCCCTTGGTCAACACATGCATATCAAATGTTGATTGCCAAAGATATAAAAGTTGTAGATGAGAACAGCATTATCTATCATACAAGCCAGTTAAATTATTCAAAACAATGTTTTCCCACTGTGAACTTTAATAATGAAGGGCACAAATAATATATTGCACAACTTATTGCCTGGCACACTCCACAGTAAATTTGCAGAAATGTATCAAAGCAGACGAAATTAGAAAGTTCTGGTTCTTCGTCCACCCCTGGACTTTGGCTTTGATTCAGAACTTGTACATATTTTGCATGCACATCTGTTTTACAGATCTTGCTTCTCTGTTTGCAGACTGTCGGTTCTTCGCATCAGATGAACTGAAACTCTAAAGGAAATACCCATAATTAGTTTACTCTTATGACATGCTTGTTACGGGTAGTTGGTCTATTCCCCCCTCCCCAAAGGGGTCCTAGAATGCATACAGGAAGTTTGTCACTCATTCATTAAGAAGCCATGACAGTGTAGTGGCTAGACACTTCCTGACAGGCCAAAGATCTTGGGTTCAAGTCCACACTGGTGGATTTTTTGAAAATTTACCCACATCCCGGTTGACCAGCCCAAAATTAGTACTATAATGCCATTAGAAATTGATGCAGATGTTCCAATAATTATATCTCAGCTGCAACATAATATAAATGGATGAAATGACATAACATTTTTTTCATTCTCAACATTGTGTCAGACCCACCCCACAGCAAGCAATTTGAATGCATTTTTGCTTATTTGAGGTGTACAATTATACGATGATCCTTGCTGGACTGCCTTTTAAGAGTTATACAGCACAAAGTTCAAATGTAACCAACCAACCTTTCACCAAAAAAAGTGAATCTCTTGGTTTACATGAATTCAAAATAAGGCCCAAACTGTTACTCTTTAAGTGTTGACATGCTCTGTAAAATCTGAGCTGCCAAGCTTCATAAGAAGTTACAAAGGCATAACTTGTGTGGCTTGTTCTTGTCTTATCAGAATGGCGCTGAAAGTTAAATTTGTTACACTAACAAATATAACATTGCAATTATTTAAATATTTATCATCTGAGGCTAAAAGCAGTTGTCTGTATCATTTCTATTTCAAACCCAGAGAAAAGAACTATATATGCCCTAAGTATTACCGACCTGACATACTCAAGATGGGTTAGAGAAGAGTCAATTCTTTCTACACATACCAGTGCTGAGTGAGGAAGGGATAAAGAAAATTGATAGCTTTAACAAAAAAATTATTAAACGAGCGAATGTTGGACGATAAATAATTATTGACCATGAAGAAATTAAAACTTAAAACTTAGACAGAACCATGGAATTAATAAAAGTATAACAAAAGTATATTAAGGACAATTCTAAGAGGTACAAGGACTTACACCTCAAAAACAATTTCAGAAAGGCCTCTAATGTCTATCATACTTCGGTACTTTCATTCATGTTGATACTGTAAAATTTGTTTGGTTACCCAATTAAAATTATACAAGGTATGAAAATAACACAGAAAGCTACTGTTTTAAAAAAACTGGGCTGTCTATATATTATTTATAAAGAAAATAAAAAAAGTCCAGATGAAAACAGGAGCTCATGCAAAAATCATGTTCCCAGGATAAGTAACTGGGAAATTAATGAAAATACAACGGCACAAATTAGAAAACGGACTACAGATAATGTTCTGGGAAGTAAAGGTGGCTGAGTGATGCTGACCACATCACCCACTAAGTGCCGATTCTATAAAATTGAGTCTAAAATCATTTTCCCATTGCACCACTGGCGTGAAAAAATGGTCTTTACATTTGCTCATTCTTCTTCTTCTTCTCTTCCACCTTGTACCTCAGTGAAGTGTGGGAAAAAGGGGGGGGGGGGGGGGGGAATGTAACGTCCATTGATGAGCTCTGTCAAGATCACTATTAAGACTGATGTTCATTTCTGTAAGGCTGTTCTTAATGCCATTACTCCATATTTTTTTAGGTCTTCCACTCGCTCTATACTCGTAATGTTTTAGCATGGCTCGCTGTTGCAGATAGTACCAGGGCATTTTTGTTAGGTGTCCAAACCACTTCATTTGTTATTCTTTGATGACTCGTAAGACTGGCTTTATTCCTAGAATTTGTCTGATTTCATATTCTGTCTTTCCTTGAAACTCCTGCAGCTCTTCTAAGGCATTTCATCTCTGTTGTCAAAATTTTACATTCATTGGAAGATGTAAGTGTCCATGTTTGGCACTGATAGCATAGTGTTGGCCAAAAAATAGTTCTGATAAGATTCACTTGAGTGAATATCTAAACAGGGCATCTACTCACTTACTCATTATTTAAATTAAACAACCAGTTATAGAGACTTACCCACAACTCCTCTCCTACTAGGTAACTGTCCAGGTAGTTGACAATATTTGGGTTCTGGTTTTCACGCATGACTAAAATTTCATTGATGATCAATTCCTTCTTGGGCTGCTGGGATAAATTCATGGTCTTGATGGCAACCTCCCTGCCTGTAGCCACTTCTATTGCAATAAAAACTGTACCTGATGCCCTGGACAAACATATGAAAGGTACAACATAAGCAACTTTGGCCACCAAATATTGAGTCACAATAATCAGCATTCTATGAAGTTAAGGATTGCAGGTGGGAATTTGGGAATTGTATTGTTACATATCTTCAACACACAGATGCACACATACAATTTGTCTCCATGCTGTCATTTAGGCATACTGGATCTTTGCATATGTGAGCTACAGACTGTTAAGAAGGAATGATATGGTCAGTATCACATCAACTGCCTTTACTACAAAGAAACTTCCATGACATCCATTACAGGGTGTGCTGACACAGGAGAGTAGGTAATTTTTTTTTTTTATCACTGCACTAATGACAATTCACAAACACATGACCAAGCTAGCCACTGTACTTACTGCAGCTCCGAGGAAATATGGAGGAAAACATTACAGGGATTTTTCTGCCCCTAACTGATTATATAAATGCCACGTTAATTTTTATTAAGGATTGTGTAATCATGAAGGAAGGATGCCCATAAAAAAAAGAAAGAGGCCAAAGGTTCTGGACTGGATTCCATCCACGATATCAAAGGGATTGCACAGGATGGAGCAGAACTGAGGAAATAGACTATGAGCCCTATGTGACATACATATATAGCAAAATAGGACAATGACGACGATGATTCAGGCCACTGTGGCAAACTGGAGATGTGCTAAACACATATTTAAGCACTTGAAGAGTGTTGTTATAACACCAGTTCTGTGTTAGTTAACAATTCTTCTCTGGCTTCATGAAGTGTTCATGTCCGATAACACCTCTTTTGACAAGAATGTCCTGCTCATCCTGCCTCCTTGAGAGCATTGAGGACGTCGGCCAAGTCCAAGGTAAAGCTAGTCCCATAACAGATACTGCTGGTGGGGTGCAATGAGATTAGGTCTTCACATATTCTAGGCTATGATACTGTGGGTGTGGGTTTTCCAGTTCCCATTTTCATTGTTTTTTCTTTCCAGAGAATTCCCCCAAAATTCTAAAAACTGGTAGCCATTTTTCAAAGGCAAGGTCATCCTTAGAACCCTAATGGTCACAAAAAGATAACTGTTGCTGCTGTTACAACAAATAAGTAACAATAAATGGGATGATTTCAGGGAATGCTATGAAATTAGAGAAACTCTGAACAATCCATTGTATCAACATCTATAAGAAAAAGAAATGTAATACATTAGGCATACCACAAGAAATGAAAAGAGAATAATCAAAAAGGCACTGAAATAGGCTGAGGAAACATCAACATCAAGTTCTTCCTAACATGACCCTTACAGAGAGGGGCCAAAGGTGCTGAAGCAGATTCCATCCATTATATCAAAAGCACTGCACAGGACAGAAAAGAACAGAAAACTGGACAGCAAGCCTTCTGTGATGTTTAATGGCACAATCATCCTCATCATCATCATCATGTAGCAGGTCCTTTGCAGAACGTCGCTCTCATCACCGCCTGCCTGAAAGAAACTGGGTCTCTCGCCAGCTCTCCCTCCTCGTGTACTCTCATACTCAAGGAGTCACTTATATCCTGTGCCCATCTTCGCGTCGGTCGGCACATTAGACAGATGATAATGATGATTGTTACAACTGTTTTGGTAGACAAATCATTAACCCAGGTACAGATGTTAATTATAAGTGGAAACAGTTCTAAACCAAGCAACTAAAGGAAAAACTCACTTCTGCATATAAATGATTTTCATTCCTACAGAAAAACACCAAAAACATACAACCTACCCTTGACCTATTTTCTCCATTTTGGTGTACTTTCTGTTGGGATCGCCTATTGAAACAATTGTTCTTAGTTTTTCCATGATTTCTTCACTGGTCATCTTAGCTTTCTTGGGTTTCTCAGCTTTGTTATCTGAACCTGCATCACCTGTTTTGTCATCCTGATCAAGAGGTTTTGTGTACTGAAAACAGATTACCAAACCCACTTACATTGATGTTGGCCATATATCAAACTACAAGGTATTAACAAAACAAAAAATATATAAAACATTATTTTTTTTAAATGGTTCTTATGTTGTAAACAAGTTAACTGTGTTTATTTTAAATTTTTTATATTCAAATTTTAACATACACAAGTGAAAGTCAGAGAACCATTAAAGATGTGCACTGGAAGTTAAATGCATCATGAACATTAAATGGGATGAATTTTAAAAAAGCTAAAGAAATAAGAGAAAACCACCACTAGTATCATCAGTCAGTTATAAGACAAAGAATATGGCAATATATTAAATACCTCATTATAAGAAAGAAAGACAGAATCATCTAACAGACACTGATAGAAAAAACAAATGGACTGCGGAAACGAGAATGTTTAAGAGAGACCCCTAAAATTGGTTAAGACTGAAGATGCACTGACCAGGATAGAACAGAGAATGGATAACAAGATTAAAGTCCAATATGGCATTCAACAGACAATGGGATAATGCTGGTGATTTTTGTTTTGTCCAGAACTTCAGACAAAAGTTCTGGTTGTCTGTCCACTTTTTGGCTCTGGTCATATTCCAGAACTTGTGTTTTGATTGCATATCCATTTTGCATGCCTAGTTTATTTGTGTGCAGACTGTTGGCTCTCTTCCTCTCGGACAGATGCACTCCAATTTCGATGTAAATGCCAATCATATCTATGTTGGCCAGGCTCCCAGGTGGGTACCTTTTTCTAGGATGTCAACGGAGAGTTGTAAATAGGTCTTGACCAGACTTGGTCCTGGTGCACCGCCATGTGTGGTTCAACACCCCTGCACCCCCACAGATGTGTATGTATGCATATGTATTTTTCTTAACCGTGCTGTGCCTGTTTTACTGCTGGGCTGTGATATTTGCACCTTTTGCTGTTGCCAAGATTAGCCTTCCTAGAAAATTTTATGTTATCACTATCAAGGTCTCTGCACACTGGACATCCCCATGTGTGCTCCGTCCTCCAATGCAGCAGCCACTGAAAGGTACCTCTACTGATTGTTTCCATGAGGAGATGGTTTTAGTATCTCCTGTTTTTACCTCGAAGATGGCATAGATGTGCTAAACCAAGCTTAACTCTTCGGTCATGCACTTAGCTTCAGAGATTTACCATTATCCCCCAAACTAGTCCTACAGCATTGATGACATCAGCTCTGTCCATGCTTCTCCCCATTTGCATTGGTGCTTTACTTGCCAGCTGGTCAACTCTTTTATTACTATTTACTTTATGCCCAGGTGTGTAGATCTAGATGATGGAGGTTAACTACGATTTCTGAACGCTTTCTAACCTGGAAAATCACACCTTGTGTCGCTTGATGTTGGATGAGTTCAACAGTACACTGTGCAGGTGTGGACTTGCTGACACTCAAGTCCACTCTATCAAATAACTGAATAACTAGACTATTTAGACTATTCTAACGCCTCAGTCACTTGACTCAATTCAAGACACAAGAGTGTACTGAAACATAGGCATGCTTACTATAGACTTGGTTTTGTCAGGTCGGGCGGCTATTGGGGGTGGCGGTGATTCTTCTTCATCCTCCTCTCCATCCCCTGAGACTGTTGGGCTGGAACCTTGCTTTGTCTGATAGAAACATCAGAGGCATACAATTTATTTATAACGATAGAAGGTTTTTGTATAACAGAAATATCTTTAATAGAATGTGTAATTAAGAGTCTAACAAGGCTCTGACTGGCAGAAATCTCTCCTCTCTGCCTGCCCTTCTCTCACAAACATATGCGCCTATTACATGCGCATGTACTTCCACAATTTGTACTATTTTAATTCATCATCATCTAGCAGGTCCTATGCAGAACATGACCCCAATGCTGACATGCTGGAAAGCCACTTGTCCCCTTATCTATTCCAAGACATGAATTATCCTATCCTGTCCAGGGTGTCCTTGCCTATTCTTCCAGGAACCGGAACCATTCCCTACACTGCTGTTCATAAGTGTTTAAATTAAGTGTGTATATATATATATATATATATATAGGCTCTCCTTTCAACTTCGGCCGGTAGACAAACATCGACGGCCGGTTAGTCGGAGTTATGTCCCCTTGCTACAGTGCAATTACGGACTGGACAGGAGGGAACGAAACAAATGACATAATTACTGTGTGTTGCCGATAGACAGCATACGGTTACGGTTTGGGTTAGGGGTAGGGTTAGGGGTAGGGTTAAGGTTAGGTTTAGGGTTAGGGTTTGGTTTAGCGGTAGTATTAGGTTTAGGGTGTGGATTAAGGTTACTGTCGCCGCATCTCGTCTTCGCACAAACTCACAGTAGCAACCCAAACCCAAACCCTACCCCTAACCCTAACCCTAGGGCACTGCACGCTGTCTATCGCCAACACACAGTAACTATGTCACTTGTCTCGTTCCCTCTAGTCCACTCCGTAATGCGTCGGAAGAAGCGGTAATTAAACGCGGTCGCTAATTTGAGTGGCAGCACGGGGTTGCATGTCGACCTCACTGTGTTGTTTGATTCGTGCCGTCCCCAGTCCGTAATTGCACTGTAGCAAGGGGACATAACTCCGACTAACCGGCCGTCGATGTTTGTCTACCGGCAGTAAAGTTGAAAGGAGAACCATTGTTATATATATATATATATATATATATATATATATATATATATATATATATATATATATATATATAATATATATATATATATATAAACTTAGATTAGAAAATATATATTTTTTTAAACTTCCACTTTGAAAATACAGAATATCTGCTGCTGTGAAAGAAGTTGAAAAAAAATTAAAACTGATAGAGCTGAGTGATCTTCTTCTACTTCTTTCATCTGAAGATGTAATTACATTGTGCCCTTTTAAAGCATGGATGCGATATTTGCATCTTTCGGCCAACACATCTGACTTCTGCGGGCATTTGTTGAGTGGGTTAGCCTTTCTGGTTGAGAAGTGATCTTACCTGTGAGATGATGACAATAGCTGAAAGCTTGTCCGACAGGTTGGACTTGGATGAATTTGCACCTGGAGAAGCAATTACAATTATATTTGAATCAGTGCATCAAATATGAGACAGTACAAGTTTTCTCAAATTCTGGTAATGAATGGTCAAGCTGGTTTTTTGGTTTGCCCATTTATTATTTATCCTGGTTAACTGGGTTATATCTATTGTCTATCGTGGTTATGTGGTTTGTCTAGTAACCTGGTTTTAGATATAGGTATTTATTATCTATCCTTAAATTTAGTAATGCAGTGAATACCTTCCCACTGTGGAGTTTCCGGAAACGAAAGAGCTGATAAACTAGCTAAGGAAGGTGCAACTGAAGAACAACCTGACATACTAGTCTCTTATCAACAGAAGAAGAGAATGATCAAATCAATCAGAATGCCACCGAAACTGGCACAAGACGATTACCATATTATGGACAGACCAGAGCAAGTCATTATCCTTCGTCTTAGAACAGGGCACAATCGACTTCGCTGCCACATGTACAACAAATTTAAGATTGGCCAATCAGCCATGTGTACTTGTGGACTGGCACCTGAAACAACAGATCACATCCTTCAAGACTGTCCCAGATTCAACGCTTTCAGGCAAAAGAGACACTTGTGGAAATCAAACTTTACGGGCCGCTTAGTGAATTACAAAAGACAGTGAAATTCATACTAGAGACAGCATTGCAGATATAGATAATTTATTTCATGTGAACGAAAGAAGAAGAAGAAGACTATCTATCCTTGTGTTTGGTCTATCTATCTACTGCCAATCCTATTTATTTGGTCTATCTATCTCCACCTAAACTCTGATATTGGGCAACATGTGCTCTTAAAAATAAAGAGGAATTTACTCCAAATGAGCCAACTGGACTGTGCCATTCTGTAGTTACACTCTTGACAAAATTAGTCCATCCCATTGTTGGTGCTCCATTAGTTCCATCATGCCAATTCCGCTTAAATTAGTTCCTGACTGGTAAGATTTTCCTGGAACAAAAATAAGCAAACACATGTCCCGAAAGCAAACACATTTTGCCATGTTAACTGTCATGGTGGCCTCGGGCGGGGAACAGCTATTGGTGGATGGTGTCATTTCCAGAAAACAAGGCAGAGGCTGACCTCTGCAAAGGTGAATGAAGATGCACTGACCATAAAAGTACATAGCTGGTAAAGCAACAATCGACTTACCGATCAGTGTGACCCTTACTGTCTGCTACTGAAAGGTTCAGCTACCATCCTGAGATTTAAACATCATAATCTGGATGGTAGATTTCTTCTTCTTTTTCGCGTTCACCAGCTGTAAACTCCACCAGAAAGTTCTGGATATTTGTCCACCTCTGGACTTTAGTCTTGTTTCAGAACCTGAGTTTTGCGTGCACATCAGTTTTGTACATCTGGCTTTTCTGTATGCAGACTGTTGGTTCTTTGCCGCTCAGGTAATTGCACTTCGACTTCGAAGGAAGCCCCCTGTTAGTTGACTCTTAAGACATACTTGTTGGGGAGCAGTCTATTCTAGTTGTTCCCCACAATGGGGCCCCAGAATCCACACAGGGATGGTAGACATCATATATCCCGTTCAACCTTTAAAGAAGTCATAATTAGGGTACCCATATCGGCTACACCAGCCAGGTGTAACCTACAGGCAGGCATGTGTGGGTAAGGACATAAGCAACAACTAAAACATAAATATTTAAGTAACTACAACAGTAAAATGACTAAAACACAAGGTGAAAGTAATAAGTGTCTAGAAATGAAGGAGTACAGAAAATCATAAGTAGTTTGGTTGCATAAGGAGAGTCACTGATCCATGTATGACAAGTTTTTGTTTAGAGACTGGCTATGGTGCATTCACGGCTATCTTTGGAAATATTACATGGCGAGGCCCAATCTATTCTACAGTACAACTCTCGTACTGCTGTCTGAAAGCCATGAGAACAGTCTTGACAAATTTGGTAAAAAGTCAGTCCATCAAGAATGTAAGGACAGATCTCCATTAAATAAAAAGTCCTCAACAGTTGCATTACATTCTAACAAAAGAGATGACAGAACAAGATAACACTATGGTGTACATAAATGAACCTTACTTGATGAGGAGTTGACATTGAGCATGAACTTCTCATCCTGTCTCTCCTTGGATGATGTGTCATAGTAATTTAGCACATCCAGGACAGCCTGTGGGTTTTTCTTCTGTTCTGACTTGGAGATGTTTGCACTCTGCAGGAGCCGGGCCCATGACTCTGGCATACCCTGAAATATACCATGAGATTTCATGAATACAAGCAACGATATAAATGATGAGACTGCCTTCCAACTGCCTCATGTACCTTCAACTGTGTAGTTTTAAAAAAAAATATATATATATATTACCAGTGCTTTCACACTCCATAATCCCCCAGCCTCCTGCCAGGTGATGATTCAGTAGTGGCTGTTATACAAAATTAATCTATTGTTGTCTAAAATCTGAAATCTGCTTTGCTAACTGGTTCCGGTAATCATTCCCTCCACAACCCCTGCTCTTTGTGTACTTAACTTATGTATTGCAAAATTACTGTGGCCAACTCTTGTCTCATCAACTTTAACTACCATTTCCACAAGTTAAGGGGTTGTACTGGGTATACTGTACTAACCTATATTTAATAGGCCTGTATGTATGTATGTATGTATGTATGTATGTATGTATGTATGTATGTATGTATGTATGTATGTATGTGTGTATGTATGTATGTATGTATGTATGTATGTATGTATGTATGTATGTATGTATGTATGTATGTATGTGTGTATGTATGTATGTGTGTATGTATGTATGTATGTATGTATGTATGTATGTATGTATGTATGTATGTATGTATGTATGTATGTATGTATGTATGTATGTATGTATGTATGTATGTATGTATGTATGTATGTTTGTATGTATGTGTGTATGTATGTATGTGTATGTATGTATGTATGTGTGTATGCATGTACGTTTGTATGCCTGTATGTATGTATGTATGTGTGTATGCATGTATGTATGTATGTATGTGTGTATGCATGTACGTATGTATGCCTGTATGTATGTATGTATGTGTGTTATGCCTGTATGTATGTGTGTATGCATGTACCTATGTATGCCTGTATGTTTGTATGTGTGTTATGTATGTATGTGTGTATGCATGTAAGTATGTATGCCTGTTATGTATGTATGCCTGTATGCATGCCTGCATGTATGCCGGTATGTATGTATGCATGTATGTATGTGTAAGTGAGTGGGTGAGCATGTGTATGTGGGTGTATGTATGTGGGTGTGAGTATGCACGTGCAGGTTTTTGCATGCACTTTACAACTCATGCTTTTGTGTTCTTTTATAATATACATAATATGCATATCATCATAACATGCTTTATTAGTAAAAAACAACTGCTGTGCAAAATGTGTTTGACTGGAAGGGCCGAATGTAAGACGGGCCTGAGTGCCCAATTTGTGATCCTTTGAAAATAAGGTTTGTTCGTTCGTTCGGCATATCAGTTAAGTGGGAGCCTCCATGGTAAAGCAGCTAGATGCTTGCCTGCGGATCCGAAGGTCCGTGGGTTTTGTCCTGATGAGCCAGACATTTTTTGTTTCTCTTCAAAAAGATAACCTTATGCTCCCAGGTTGACCCAGCCCTAAATGGGTACCAGGTCAAGTCCTGGGAAGTAAAGGTGGCCAGCAAGTGCCAACTAGTCTTAAAAAAATATAAGCCTAGTCCTATATGCCCAATATTCCTGAAGCTACGGGAAAGTACTTTTTATTTAAACTTAAAAGTTAAATAGTACTGAAGGATAAAACAAATCCTCAAAATGTAGCCCAAAATTAAGTAGGGCCTGCTATGACATGCTTGGGGGAACAGTGGGTCTATTCTTTGTTCTCTTTGGGTTCCGGAACCCATAAGGGGACACAAAATCTGCTATAAATGGTAAACATAATGACTAAGAAAATGCTGCCTTACCGTGAACTCCCCTGTGTGAGGATCAAAGCCAACATGCACAGTGTGTTCAAAATTGGAGGGGTGGGATATAACTGGCTTGTCATTAATTAGTTTCATATTTTTTGCACCTGTTTTTGTGTGGAAATAAAGTCAAGATATTAGAATCCAAAGTTAGAATCACTTAAAATAAATCACACAAAAATCACTGAGTTTGTTTAATTTAAAAAATCCAAAACATAAAAGGAAGTAATTTAATTTCATTATTAGAAACATTAACATTCACCATTATCCAGTCTTTACTTTTTAAAGTCTGAAGGGTAGGTTGTTTGAAGATAACCACATTCCTATTGGGTAGAGTTTTTTTTAATAAGAACTAACTAGATAAATGTTAACATGTTTTGCATGGCCAAAAAAAAAAATAGAGGCAGAATTGAAAACATAGAAAAGATCATTTTTTCTTCTTCTTAGCAAACCGTGCCTGTAAAATCTGGCAGAAATTCTGGTTTTCTAACCATCCTGGATTTTTTTTTTTTTTTTTTTTTTAATCAACTTGAGTTTTGTTTTTACATAGGTTTCACAGAGCGAGCTTATTTGTATGCAGACTGTTGGTTTCTTGCCTCTCGGGCAGATGCAGCCTTACTTTGAAGGAAACACCCCTAATTAGTCACTTCCTAGAACATGTTGGGATAGGGGTGGCAAAAAAAAAAAGGGGGGGGGGGGTGCTGTGGGTCTGTCTATTCTTTGTTCTTCAAAATGGAGTCCTGAAACCCACACGGGGAAGATAAGTAGTGATCAATATGAATAATATGAAGAGAACAAGGAGGAAACTGCACAGAGTGACAAAAAATCAAACAACCAGACCTGCCTTGAACATAACTACCACGTATTGTAAAATAAAATACCAGAAAGTCAAGAAAAGCATCAACAGCAGTGTACATCTAGGTAACTGTTGGGGATGATAAATGAGGAAACATCAGAGTGTTTTATATGTCGTGTTTTACTCAACTGTTGGGTACTGTGGAAGGTTTAAAATGAACAAATGTGACATGAGTGAATACCAGGCATCAGCATGTCAACATTACAGGGACATGTGGATGATAGGCTATCAAAGATAAGCAGGAGTGTAGGGACATTATCAAGCAGATTTTCTGGCTTCCAAAGCAATATCTTAGGGAACATTTGTGCTGGACAAAGGAGACATTCTGAAGACGATTTATGAATTAATGCTGCTAAAAGATACGAGGTTAAAAGAAATCAAATATGTAAGAATTTGTGAACAAAGAACTAGGTGTGGATTCGACAAGGGACGTAAGAAGGGAAAAAAATGACAGCTGGCATCTACATTTTGAGACATTTGGAGACGGAGCATCTATCGGTATACCCAGTGTGCATTGAGGTTGATTATTAAATCAGTAAACTAGTAAATCATTGCCTTATAGGCACAAGGTAAAAAATGAGGAGCTTAAAGTTTTCCCTTTATGGGTTGCGATACAAAGTATCTGAATGCCAAGGAAATGTTCAAGAGGCAGTGGTTTTAAAAATATACAGATTATGGCAGTGTCAGATTTGCATGAATTATTGAAAGTAGAAAGAAAGGGAAGATCTCTACTATAAACAGAAGATGGAAGGGATATCAGAAAAGACTGCAGATTCAAGTGCTGTTCCCACTTTATATGAAAATTCATTGTTTCTGTAAACTTATGTGTACTGTACTGCTGTTTCTTGGGACATAATGAACGTAGATATTATGCTGTAAATGGCATAATCCCTTTAAAATATTTAATGAACTTGAGGATCTATTCATTATATTCAATTTTAGAGCTATGACTGCACAATAATTAGCTTCTTGTCTTATCCGGTGACCTTTATTCAATCTCCAGCACATATGGGGGAGGGGGTTTATGACCAAAGCAAAGCCCCCCCCCCCCCACTCCCCAAAGACCAGTTAAGGGCAAAAAGAACAGAGGAAGTCAAAGCAAGACTAATAATACAAAAGAGAGATAAGGTTTAATAATTCCATATTTGTGGGGTACTGCTGAAGACATACGGAAGTGGAAGACAGTGACTGCTGATGTTTCCAGATTAACTTTACAAGATTAACATTTGTAGATATAAGAAAAACAATTATGATGGAAGGCCCAGACTCCCAAGTTAGGTATCACAGATTTCAACATGAAGGTTGCCTCCCAAGTTCGGTAGTACAGATATCTATGAGAAAGTATTTGTATCCAAAAAATACTGACTATGGCACTGAGTTTGCTTTCTTTTCTTTTTCGTGCTGGCCCAGAAAAGGGGTGCTGGCACATTGTGTTTTGTCTTACAGCTATTCTGGAATACTTTCACTTGTCCTCCTCCAATAATGGAGCCCAAGAAGCCACACCACGAGTGTTGTATTTACACTCCACAGAGGTGGGTCTATCATTTCAATATGCCTTTCTTTGCTTGCTGCTGAAGATGGGGACAGGGTGCTAATAGGAGTATCCTAAGTTCTGCAATGTCGATTCTTATATTGCCAGATTTTTTCTGTAATACTGTTTTTTTAAATTCTTCTTCTTCTATTCCGCCTTTTTACCTCATCGAAGTGTCGGGGGGAGATGTAATTTTCGTTGATGAGCTCTATCAAGAGCACTATTAAGACTGATGTTCATTTCTGTAAGATGTTCCTTTCTGTAAGGCCTTTCTTAATGCCATCACTTCCGAGGTCTTCCATTCGCTCTATACCCGTTGTAACATTTTAGTGTGGCTCACTGTGGCAGATAGTACCAGGGCATTCTTGTTAGGTGTAAAAACCACTTCATTTGTTGTTCTTTGATGACCTGTAAGACTGGCTTTATTCCTAGCATTCGTCTGATTTCATGATTTCGTATTCTGTCTTTCCTTGAAACTCCTGCAGCTCTTCTAAGGCATTTCATCTCTGTTGTCACAATTTTACGTTCATTGGAGGATGTACGTGTCCACATTTGGCATTGATAGCTTAGTGCCAAAAAATAGTTCTGATAAGATTCACTTAAGTACTCTGAGGTATCTGCTTGTGTGTATCTGTTTGTTTCTTTTAATTACCTGTAAATAATTACTTTTGTTAAAGATGTCAAAATGGTTTGGACATGTATGCAGAATGAGAGAAAATCGGCCACTGTGGCAGGCATGGGAGGCTAAGAACTAGGGAACCAGACCTTCAGGGCGACCCAGGTCCGCTGGGAAGACAACATCCGACAGTCCATAACTGACAGAGGACTGGAATGAAAAAGACAGGAAAAAAACTGCTGATAGAGACAAATGGTGATCTCTCTGGCAAACCTCTACACCCCAAGGTAGAAGAGGAGCAACTAAGTAAGTAAAGAAGTAAAAACCTTTGTTTGTTTTCTGTTTTTTCCTGTCCTCCTTGCTGTCTGGCTCTCTAGGCAGTGGCTTGTATTCATGAGATAAGGAGGTATCTCTGAAAAACAAAATAAATCTGTGTGATTTAGAACATCCCAGCTGTTCATTTGTTTAAATGATCCAAGGATTCATAAACTGACCCATAGATGTTCTGTCTCACCAGCAATTATCTAATGTGTGGATACTAACTGTTCCAGTAGCCCACTGGTTGTACACGTTTTACTTTTATATGTCATTTCTTGCTAGATCCAAGCTTAACATATTTGTTCATGTATTTAACTATTTCGTCAAATATTTTTAGTTCATAATCAGGGCTTGACCTACACAGAATGCTGCAGTTAAATTTAAATATAAAAATACATGCTACAATCCATATCCACCCTCCCCCCCCCCCCCCCCCCAGCCTCCCCTTATTGTTGGCCTCATGAAAAACTCTGGACAGGTACTGCCCCACCCCACTTTTCCCACAAGCAACTCCCACCCTGGACGTGGTTCCTTTCACCAAGTCCCCTCAGACATCCCTTGGCAATTGTGACCCCATCCTAATATCAAAGTGGTTCTGTTTGGTATTTAAATCATATAAAACAGGAGGTCGTCTTTCATATATGGGGGCCGACTTATGCATGGCAAAATAGGCTTATTTAAAATGCACACAACCTTACACATGTTATTTTATCTAACATTGTGTCTTCCATCAGCATTTGTTTATAAATGGTCTTCACAACCAAAACAATGTTTACCCCGTTGTGAATTTGAAAAGGAAGACGCAAACAAAAGATTGCACAATTTATTGCCTGGCATTGTTACTGAGAATTGTTATTGTAGTATGCACCTGTTGAGATACAGTAAAATATGCCAGGCAAAACATTTTGCAATCTATTGTTTGTGTCTTCTTTGTGCAAGGTCTTCACAATGTCTGCCTTGCCCAGGAGTGTGATCACTTTTGTAGCCAAACACCAGTGAAGACAAAAAGTCGTGGCGTAAAACCACTACTACCAGCATGGCATTTATGTCGTAAATTATGTTTGGGCTGATCAGTAATTGTCACTTATCCTCCCTGATTACAAGCAATGTTAAGTAAAATGAAATGTAATGGGTGGCAAAGGTGACCGATATATCTGACATCTCCTGACAAGTATTGATTACTCAATAAAATTATGTGGCCAGTACCATGTATCCAGTGCAATTATGTAGCCAGCACCAGGTAGGTATTAAATATTCGCATATTTTATGCGTGAACTTGTAATTATTATATTAGAAATTTATCACCATCACACCATAATTACGCCTGCCTGCGGATCGGAAGGTCCTGGGTTTGTGTCCTGACGGAGCCGGGCTTCTTCCATAAATGACCTTAACTCCCAGGTCAACCCAGCCTTGACTGGGTACCAGGTACAGTCCTTGAAAGTAAAGACGGCCAGCGTGATGTTGAACACATCGCACACCAAATGACTGATTGGTCTAAAAAAATATAGGTCTAGCCCTGTATTCCCAATACACCTAAAGGCGGGGAAAAGGGACCTTTACACCATAATTAGTGGAAATATAAGAAATATATGTCAAGAATAATAATTACAATTATTGTTATATTGTTATGCGTTTAAGCTGTAATTACCATGTGAATAAAATTATCTTTGGCAATGATAACTGTAACAACATTATTATCATATAACTAGCACACAAACATTTTACAAGCAAGAAATTATTTTCTTTCCCAACAAATGTATAAGCAAAAACCCAACACCAAGGATGAAGTAAAAAGAAAAACAAACAGTTGTTATGCTGCAAAAATACAATCAATACAATAAATCAGAGCTTTCCAGAATTTTCTTGCAAGTGATATACTTTTTTGTGAAATACAATTTTGCAACAAAGTAATACAGCCTACTAAAAAAAATTAATGTGTATGAAACTTTGACTTACTATTTAATAATTAAACCCACTAGCCATTTTAAAAACAAGTTAAGAATTCAAATACGGCATGAAATTGCCATGAAATGTGTTACCGCTATGCTGTGTGCAAATATTATACCTGTGTTTGTCAACATTATGTGTGGATTATTTTGTTAAATGCTTTAATTTTCCCCATAACACACCTTCACACTGCAGCTGACGCACTAAATATGTGGCGACAAAATTTGGAAAGCTCTGCTCTAAACACTATTACCTGTTAAGCAAAGTTTCATTATAACCATGGTCTCCTGTATAAAAAAAAGTAAAAGTAAAGATCCCTTGTTACGCCTTTAGGCGCATCGGGTATATGGGAAGAGCTCCCATATTTTTTCAGACTATCGGCACTAGGTGAGTAATGTAGTCAGCATTATGCCGGCCGTCTCTACTTCCCCTGGTCAGCCATCCTGGTACCCATAGCACAATAACATTATTTTAACATTTGACACACCACAAACTACGATATTTGTGTTAAAGAGGTGACTGGCATGATGTGTTGTTGTTGTTTACAGTAACGCTGATGATATATCTGACCTCTCTCAAGTTTGTCTGAAGGTTTCTCTTGACGTCCTTGTTTCCTCAATCCATTTCAGTGCTGTTTTTTGGGGGGTTATTTTTTCAAATGATTCTGCTCAAAATATTACCAAATGCTTCCTCTCATAAATTAATAATTACACAGGCAGTTTCCAGACAATTCTCTTGTGTCTTCACCTTTCCTGAATCCACCCCATTTAAAGTTCATCAAATTCCATAGGCAATTTTTTTTTCAACACATTTAATTGTCGTTCTACATCTTTAGCAGTTTTCCAACTTTCACTGGCACAGTTGAAACTGAAACATTAGAATTTAAAATATTTAACTTGGTAAAAATAAATCCACTAGATAAATTATTTTCAATTTTGTAAATGTTGTCTCTCACAGTGTGCCCTACGGTGTTCTCTTTCATTTCTTTCCCTGTCTTAGGGTGTAACCAAGCCATCATACTTTTGCTTTGTGATACTTTTTTGTTTTGCTACAATCTTTAGGACTTTATTTGATAATTTTACAATCCAGCCAGTCATTTTTCTTTACCGGATTTTTTTTTTTTTTTTTTAAATTCCCATTATGGGATTATAACCTGAAGGTATAACACACAAGAAGACAAAAAGTCACTTTCTAGGTACCAATCCAATAGAAGGAAATTGTAGATATCCTGTTCAGCTGTATAAAACAATTATTTTTTTTTGGACACAACTGCATTGTCTGCGTACCACATAGCTTAGATATGTGTGCCATTCAGCTGAAACATCCAACTTCTTTGAGCATTTATTATCCAGGTTAGTATTTTCAGTTGAAAGAGATCACAATGGGGCCCAGGAAACCACACAGGGAAATTATTAGCATTTTCATTTTGTTTTCAGCAAACACCAAAATTAGTTAAGATCAGCTAATTTCATATAAGGTATATTTTGGTTGTTAACCAGTGTTATGTGACTGACAAGCATAGCTCTAGTGCAAACTCTTGTGATCCAAAATTAAAATTAACAGATAATCAATGGATTTGTGGAAGCAGCATGAAGTTAAAATTAACAGATAATCACAGGGTCTGCGGAATTAGCATGAAACCCTTTTGCCCGGAAACCCTTTAGGAACAAAGGCACAACACCTGTTAATATCACCCCATTTTTTTTTAAACCATTTAACACAGGTCACGGATACACTTTTTTTCTCTTCAAATTTACTCACATGGATTGTTTAAAAAAAAGAAAAGTTAATTTGTAAAGGGAAATAATCATTAAATATGAAAGGGAGAAGATCCTAATGGTGACCTTCTCTTCCTATATACCATTCAGCTATGGTTAAATTGTCGCCCACTACTGCACACTGACTATCTCACCGACTGCACACTGACTATCTCACCTACTGCACACTGACTATCTCACCTACTGCACACTGACTATCTCACCTACTGCACACTATCTCACCTACTGCACACACACTGACCATCGCCTCCCCAGCACACTGACCATCGCATCTACTGGATACTGACCATCTCCTCTACTACACACTGACAATCTTACTCTACTTCATAAAATTATATCATCTTTTTGCATAAAATGATCATCTCACTTTATTGAACACTGACCATCTCATACTACTGCACATACTGACCATCTCCCCTTACTGCACACACTGACCAACTCACCTTACTGCACAAACTGCTCATCTTACCTTACTGCACATACTGACCATCTCCCCTTACTGCACACACTGCTCATCTTACCTTACTGCACATACTGACCATTTCCCCTTACTGCACATACTGACCATCTCCCCTTACTGCACACACTGATCATCTTACCTTACTGCACATCCTGACCATCTCCCCTTACTGCACACACTGACCAACCCACCTTACTGCACACACTGACCAACTCACCTTACTGCACACACTGACCAACTCACCTTACTGCACACACTGCTCATCTTACCTTACTGCACATACTGACCATCTCCCCTTACTGCACATACTGACCATCTCCCCTTACTGCACACACTGCTCATCTTACCTTACTGCACATCCTGACCATCTCCCCTTACTGCACACACTGACCAACCCACCTTACTGCACACACTGACCAACTCACCTTACTGCACACACTGACCAACTCACCTTACTGCACACACTGCTCATCTTACCTTACTGCACATACTGACCATCTTCCCTTACTGCACACACTGACCATCTTCCCTTACTGCACACACTGACCAACTCACCTTACTGCACACACTGCTCATCTTACCTTACTGCACATACTGACCATCTCCCCTTACTGCACATACTGATCATCTCCCCTTACTGCACACACTGCTCATCTTACCTCACTGCACACACTGCTCATCTTACCTTACTGCACATACTGACCATCTCCCCTTACTGCACACACTGACCAACTCACCTTACTGCACATACTGACCATCTCCCCTTACTGCACACACTGACCAACTCACCTTACTGCACACACTGCTCATCTTCCCTTACTGCACACATTGCTCATCTTACCTTACTGCACATACTGACCATCTTCCCTTACTGCACACACTGCTCATCTTCCCTTACTGCACACACTGCTCATCTTCCCTTACTGCACACACTGCTCATCTTCCCTTACTGCACACACTGCTCATCTTCCCTTACTGCACACACGGACCAACTCACCTTACTGCACAAACTGCTCATCTTACCTTACTGCAAATACTGCCCATCTCACCTTACTGCCCACCGACCATCTCAGATTACTTACTGCATACAGTGACCATCTTACCTTAGTACAAACTGGCCAACTCACCTTACTTCATACACAGACCATCTGACCCTACTACTGCATACACTAACCATCTCACCTTACTGCACACTGACCATATCACCCTAATGCAGCCACTGGCCATCTCACTCTATTACTACTTTCACACAGCAACTACATGTTATCTATGAAGCAACCTATGTTCTCTTGGCAAAATATACAGTATATATATATATATATATATATATATTAAAATATAAGTTAGAAGAGATAGATATGTAGATTTTTTTTATAATAATAAAAGACTTGCTGGAAAGACTTGCTAATAAAAACTTCAAGAAGACCCAAGCAGTGTACAATTTGCATGCGAAATCCAAGCCACGTAAAGCAAACAAGAACATTTTTATAGAATATCAAATTTATTATAATGTTTTTATTTTTGTGCTCCTCATATTATTTATTTTAATGCTTACAAACTTTTCAAAACACTGCGGGAATGCTTTATGTAAATTTTTTTAAATTACGATAGAAATGACAAAATGTATACAACTGTTTTAAAAGTTAAACTATATGCATATGTATATTATGCATATAAATATATACACACATATATACACAAGCCAAGCTGAAGTACGGCTATGTCAGAAATATGTCAATATTGTGTATTCATGGAAAGATGAAATAAAAAGTAATATCGACCTGGAAGGTAGCAGTGCCTGTTTGGGCTGTTTGTTATCAGCTGTCAAACTGCCAGGTACTCGCTGTGTTGGCGGTGCTTTAGTTATTGTTGTAACATTCCTGAACATTGGAAGTTGAAGAACATTGGTTTAAAAAAATATTGCAGGAAAACTGGTAATGGTGGAAGAAGAATTCCCAAGTTCATTGTAATTACCAACATTAAACTAGTTCATGTGCACAAAAATATGTAGATACAGTGATCTTAAACATGAGGGGGGGGGGGAGAGGGTTCTGAATAAGTTTCCGGGGGGAAAGGGAGAGGTGGGCCTCAATCAATTTTTTTTAATTGAGTGCATTGGTACTTGTACCAGTTAATAAATCTATCACCCAAGCAGCGCAAGATAAATACAGGAATCCACGACACTGAGCTACAACCTGGTATCAGTGAGATGACAAAAGAAGAAGGCACTTGTCATTATCCAGATTTTCAGCTTTAACAGTCACGAAAACAAAACAAATTGCCAGCTTGATGTGGAGAGTGACCTCAGTTTGGCTTTGTCTAATATCAGACCCAAAATAGCCAATATCATCAAGGAAAAAAAAAGTGTTGACTATCATATTGGTATTAGGACTCTAAATTATCAATTTTTGATACGTTTTTTTGTGTGTTTAATTTAAAAATGTGTTTTATGCAGATGTACTTCTCTAAGTTCTTGTTAACAGTGCTTGAGAGTTTTCTTTCCGTCCTTTTTTTTTTAAATCATACTTTGGGGTTGGGGTCTTACCATATACTCAAGGGCGAGGTGGGGAGTGAAACTGAAAAAAAAAAAGGTTGGAGACCACTATCTTGATTTTCCAACTGTTTTATAACTGTTTTATGTAATTATCTGCCTCATGCACAGCCATCTGTGATGGTCCATCAAGTATGACATGCTTGTTGAAAAACTTGACCAATTCTGAATCATGCAAGACAAAGTTACCCATGTTACTGAACTGTGTCTAAAAGTCTAAACTAGACATGAAAAAAAATGCAAAGTAACCATGTTTCAATATACAGCAGATTATCTTCATTATTGCAGTTTATATGAATGAAGAACATTCTATGCAACAAATCTATGCCACCGGTGGTTGGAAAAAGAATTCTTGTGAGCTATATAGAACCAGTTGTAACATACGGCTATGAATCTTGGCTAAACAAAAATTTCTTGAGGCCTTGGAGATGTGGTGTTGCAGAAGAATTCCCTGGACAGGACAGTCAATAAGAGCAACCCAGATGTTTTGAAAGAGATAAGAGCTCAAAGGAAACTTATAAACATCAGAAAGAGACAGTTATAAATCTTGTTTGGTCATGTTATCAGTAAAAGGAAATGGGTCCAGATTGTGATCACTGGAAAGATCTGTGGAAAAGGCGACAGAAAAAGACAATGCAAGAAGATTCTTGACAGCCTTTTGTTATGGCAGGGCGGGGTGACAGCACATTAACCTGATATATGCAGTAGAAGACCGCATATTGCGGACAGGGATGACTGCCCATGCCAGTCGATAGGGCACTTGATTATGATGATCTTCACTACACAGCCGAGTTCTAAATCTGATCTGGTCTTAAATGAGTACAATAAAATGCTCTGAGAAGAAAAGGTGACAGATATGATATTAGCCGAATCACCCATTAGAGAGCTGATTGGTCTATACAAATATGAGACTAGCAAGGCTTGAAATGGATAATTCGCTTTCACATCGGCCATGTCCACAGCAGATCTCATCTGCTCTGAAAAATGCAGTGCTAGTTTGGTGTTGACTTCAAACCTTATTTGCCAGCCTATATGGTATATTCCTAAAAGCTCATGTACGTAAAATCACCACTTAAGAGATGAGATGCTCGGGAAGAGCCGCCAACCTAACCATTCGAGGAGTGAATAATGATACTATGAGACATTTGGGAACAACACTGTGTACTAGATTCACCGAGAAACAGCAGATCAAGTGGTTTGGCCATCTCATTAGATGGCAGAAACTTCAAGTGTTATCACAGGTACTACATCTTAGAAGATCAGTTTCAAGACCAAGAGGAAAGCAATGAAAAATATGGATCAACAACATTAAAGACATTTTATGTCTTTACTGCATGACAAATAGCAAGTGGCAGCCAGCATGCAATGGACTGCAAATTCTTAAGTTTCCAAGACAAGATGCTGTTACTAGCCACTAGCCAATCTTCCTTGATGTTCAGATCTTTTAGGATGTCAGTTTTTTGTTTCAATCCAACAATATTTACTTTAAAAAAATAAAAATAAAAATCCTTCCCACACCAAAACTAAGCCAAAGCAATAAGTTGGTAAACCAGTGAACTATAAAATGTTCTAGCACATCTTCTTCTTTGTTCGTCGGCTGAAAGCTCCAAATGTCCTATGGTTGTTCCCTGCCGTTCAAGCAATTACACTCGACCTTGAAGGAAGTCCCCAATAAGTCGACTCCTATGACATGCTTGTTGGGGAGGCAGTGGGTCTATTCTTGTTTTCCCCACAACAGGGCCCCAGAACCCAGACAGGGAGTCTACCACATAGCCACCACTAACTACAATTCACAAAACAACGATGCTGTCACTATCAGCAGTGTGAAACAGCTAGTAACCTGTGCCAGCCCTGAAATATGGATACAGTGCATACATTTTGTGAAAATGAAATCAACTACTCAAGTAAGTTAGCAAATAAAACTAGGTCACTGTATGATTGCTTGCCTTTAGACAGCCATACCACTTTTGTAAAACTGAAAATCCCTCTTTGGTTCACATTGTCACTTCAGTTACTTTTTAAAGGGCGTTGAATGTTGTCACACTGAATCTCTCATAAGCCAACAGTAACAGACAATATGCTTTAGCATCAATAAAAATTAGTCAACGAGCTAGAGAAAAAAGAATGGTGCCAAGTGACTAAGTGATGACTACATAATGCAATAACATCAAAGGAGGGCGGTGCTGAAAGCTAAGAATATCACTGCATAACCAATTTTAGCAAGTTAAAGGGCATATTCCTTCAAAATATTCAATTTTAATGTGTGTCTGAATAAAGAATGTTACTCCACTTAAATGAAAGTGACAGATTAGCTAGTTTACAATTAGTGATCAAATAAGTTATAACCTGGGCTAGTGCATGTTCATTTTTACAAAACCTGGTGTCATGCAAATTAATCATGAAAGACAAAATGATTCCACATCCTGCTGCAGGAGATAGCAAAAGATAAGGACAGCTTGGTGTGAGCTGATCAGGATGCATGCTCTAAAGAAGGACAGAAGGTAGCAGAAGGGGAGGTGTAAACGAGGAAGCAGGGGGAGAAAAAGGCGAAAAGAGGAAGAGAAGAAGTTATCCAAACCTTGCTTTTCACTGCATTCCACAAGTTTACATATAACAAGATTATATGACACATTAGAGACATACGTACAAGACCAGATTTCAGCCACACAACACCTTAGCATATGACAAGAGAATTGCAAATTTGACAAACAATTTACTCACATTATTGCTACATATAACAACAGACATATTTGACAACATATTTGTTCACAAGAAAGCAGATCTTACAACATATTTCTACCACAGATATAAAACTGATATGCAAAACAACCTCAATGCATAAAAATGTGGACTCCATGCAGATGAATTATCATAAAACAGTCTTAACATTCTGGACGGCAGATTTACACAAGAAGACAACAATAATATTCCTACTGACCTAGTGCTCTCCAGCCGCACTGGGGGAGCAGGTGGCTTCTCACCATTCTCAGACATGGTTAAGAATTCTGAATTTCACAATGGTTACCTAAAAAGAGTTTTGTGACTGGAAAAAAACATGGAAGATGTTCAAGGTTTACAAAGTAAAACTGATGGCCTTAAAATTCAAAAACTAACATATGATCTTCACTTTTATCATCAGAAGTAACATATTTCATGTGGCAATAAATGGATGTGAGTCATGGATTACTTCAAAATCATTAAAAAAGAAAATTGGGGCTAGTAAAAAATTTTAGAATACTATGAATCGAATCAAAAGAATGTGTTACTATACAAGATCTGAACTGGCTTTAGAAAACTGTTTTAAAAAACATGTAGTGGAAGCGGAAATGAAATGCTTTGGTCGTATTAAATGCTGCAATGACTTAAAATGAATAGTAACATGATGCATGGTTCTTGGAAGAAGAGGCAGGGATTAACAAGCTCAAAGATGAACACTCTTTACTGAACATGTCTTGAGCATTAGACAGAGGAACTGGCAAAAAAATTGAAGTCTTTCCAATAGGCCAAAATTGTGTGCACCTTTCCGATGGCTTGAGAGCAGCACAGCCAGAAATGTTGTACAGTGGTACCTTGGACTTTGAATATAATCCATTCTGAGACTGCAAATAAATTCCAAACTGTTCAAATTCAAGGGCAGAAAGATTTTCTCACTTAAAATAATGTAAACTGAACCTGTTTCCAGGTCCAACAAATTCAAAGTGTACAATTTATTTGCCTAAATACAGTAACAAATGATGATGATCACCATCATCATTAGGTGCCTTGCCGACTGGCATGGGCGATCATGTCTCTCCATAATCTGCGATCTCCTGCAGCATGTATCAGTTCGTGTGTCGACACACCTCCATGCGATGCAACAAGACTGTCAAGCATCTTCTCTCGTTGTCTTCCTCTATCTCTCCTTCCACAGATCTTTCCAGTGGTCACAACATGTTCTATTTTCCCTCTTCTCATAACAAGCCCGAAAAATGATGACTGTCTCCTTCTGATGTTTGTGATAAGTTGTCTTCGGGCTCCCGCCTCTTTAAAAACCTCTTGGTTGCTCTTTTTGGCTGTCCAAGGTATTCTAAGCATTCTTCTATAAAACCACATCTTTGAGGCCTCTAGATATTGTCTGGCCTGCCTACCGATTGTCCAGGATTCACACAGCCATATGTTAAAACTGGATGTATGTAGCAAGCAAGAATTTTTTTTCTAACTCTCAATGACAAGGATATACTCTACAAGATGTTTTTCATTTTATAAAATGCAGTTTTTGCCTTTCCTATTCTGTTTCTTATCTCAGTTATGCATCTATATCTGATGTTATCCATGTGCCCAAATACTTAAATTTCTGTACTTTTATTACACACTTAGAAATAATTCGTTTCTTTGATACCACCATTACTTCTGTCTTCCCGTTATTCAAACTGAGGCCCATTCTTCCACTTTCTAACACCACAATGTCTATCATTTCCTGTAGTTCTTTCTGACTTGTTGCTATCAAGACTGTGTCATCAGCATAACGTAAATTGTTTATATTGTGCCCAACAACCACAATTCCGGGAATACCAATTAAATATCTCATTATATATTCACTGTATATTGAAAACAAATCAGGTGACAGTACACATCCTTGTCGTACACCCCTCTTTATGCTTTGAAATGTACCTAAACAGTTGTTAATTCTTATAGCTGCTGTTTGCTGCCAATTAATATTCTTTATTATTCGTAGATCATTCCCACCAATGTTTAATTTTTCCATCAGTTTGATTACTTCTTGCTTCACACAGTCAAATGCTTTTGTATAGTCTATGAAGCATATGCACAAATCAGTCTTTACTTCTATAGCTCTTTCTTACAATGTCCTTAGGATGTATATGGCATTGTTTGTACCTTTTCCTTCTACAAATCCACATTGTTCATGATGATCATATTAAAATAAAAACGTAAAAAAATTTCAAAAAGATATAAAAATAATGTACCTGCTTAACCTTGATTTTAAACAATGGTAACATTGAACATAGAAGTAGGAGGAGGAAAGAAGATTTACAGAGATTGATAATGATAATCATGTATCCTTTCTAGTGTTTAAAATCAGTCTTTCATCACTTGTAGTGGAGAGCGAGTATTTTAAATTGCTCTGATGCTGGCAAACATTCGGTTTATATTTTTGTTTTTATCATTGAATAAGTTAAACACACCTGTTAACTAGAGCGCTAAGAGGGTGCGACCTCTCAAAAACTTCCGTTTTCGCCCACAAGGTCAAAAGATCTTGGATTTTAGCAATGCTAATCCTTTAACTTTCCCCTTTTCCTGCCATGTGCCAGGCATTGAGTTTTCAGGGTGTTGTTTAAGTTCAGAGGCAAAATTTACTTAAAAAGTTTGTTTGGATTCCAAGATATCACTGTATTTGTAACAGGCTCGCACAGCATCACTATCATCATCATGTGCCCTGCCAACTGGGGGAGATGCTTATGCATCTCCATAGATCATGATCCCTGGTTGCTTTCTTAATGGTATCCCTCCATGCCATCATTTTAGCCCATCCCCCATCATCTCTCTTGGTCTGCCTCTAACCCTTTTTTCCACAGATCTTTCTAGTTGTCACTATGTTCTCCAATGTCTCTATTTCTTTATGTGGCCAAAGAACAGAGTTTTGTCTCTTTTTTATAGTTGTATATAGAGATCTACTTTCATTAGCTTCTTTTAAGCAATCATTGTTTGTTACTCCGGCCATCCAAGGTATTCGTAACATTTATCTCAGAAACGACATCTCTGGAGCCACGTTAGCACAGTCGACAGGATCTCTTTCAAATCCAGCTGCGACTTGCTGCAGCCCACGGCCGGTGTTCGAAACCGGGTGATTCCTGGGGTTTACCCAGCCTCTAGGAAATAGGTCCCCAGAGTTAACACTAGGATAAAAGGAGAAACCTAGCTGTAGCTACGGAGTTGTGTGCGGACGGCGACACAGGTGGATATTTTCTTATCAGCTGCCCGTACTGGTAGCAGAGCACTTATGGTTTATAACCGTGTGCAATGACGCTGGTTCACGTCTCCCGACTTTTTTTTTTTAACTTTAAAAGACTCAGATCTGGTAAGGGGGGGGGGAGTATATGATTGATTTTCTATCCAGGACGTGCAGGTGATAGATTGGCTGCTGATGCTACTTTTGTATGAAAAAGTGGGCATGGCAAAGGCTCTCTAGACAGTGCAACAGAACGCACAGAGAATCTATACACTGAAAGATTAATTCAACAGGGAGTGAGGGTGAGTAGAGGTTCTGGTAGATATTCAACACTAGGGGAAAAACATCAGCACAGACTTTTAATTGGGTTGAAAATGGTATATTATTATCGTATCGACTTTTCATTGGCTATTGAGGAGGAAGACTGAGCCTGTCTGGAATGTCCTGAGTAAAGTTATGTAAATTTTTTGTTTGACTGATTCATTCATTCCAAAAAGCGGCAGGGATTATGTTCTGCACAGGACCTGCAACTACTAAGATAATATATTCTGTAGCAGAAAAAAAAAAAACACTAGGAAGATAACTGCAGCAGGCAAGTTATCCTACAATAAACAGGTAAAAAAACATTTTTTCTTGGGCTTCAAATATGTCCTTGTTTGTTTATTGTATGGAGTCAAAAACATGAGGCGCTCATAAACTTTTGTGACAAAGCAGTGCAGTGAACAAAAATTCACATTTATAAAACAAGAATATTTACAAGCTATAATGTGATCATATAGTTTGCTAACTACTAAGGCTAATGTTATGTGTAATATGATGGACAGAATTAAGTTTGCAGGTCATTTTCAAAAACTACAAATGTATGCTGCAAAACGATTTGACACACACAAAAGGTTGTAATAACTACAGCCCACTGAATTAATACAACTGAATTAATACAAGACTAAATGATATGATACTAGGACAATGAAAAGATAATTTTAATAGTATAAATAACTTTGTTCACTGCGGCAGAATGGATAAATGACACATCAAACAGTACTGCCCATGAAGATAATACTTCAGGAATCCACTTCATAATTAGTTTAGTACCATGAAAAAGGAAAAGTCAGTGATAAGAGTAAAAAAAAACCAAAAAGCTGTCTCATACATAACTAGAATAAGTCTAATATATAATGTAATGAAATTTGAAAGCAACACTACACATTAAACCCAAGAAAGCTACTCCAACCCCTAAACAGATGGTTCACCAAATTCAGCAACAAATGCTACTGAATGAGTCATGACACATAATCATTTAATGAGCACGAAAAAACTACACTCACCAAAACAGAAACAATGAATAACTTGATTGTTCTTCCTCTTCTTTTTTTTCCTGATTATATTTTTAGCCAAGGCACAACTGACACATGCACAGTTCAGAATAAGAACTTATTCTGAAAATTGTCAAATTGTTCTTCGGCTAGAATTCAGTATGTATGACAAGACAAAAACTGTGACGATGAATAGAAAAGAGAAATAAACTATAAACTAATATTACTAATTAATAAAGTATCAACTCAAAAGAAAAGATGAGACACTGAACTGAATAAGAATTTATAGTCGATTCTGATTCGTCGAATCTTCAAGAAAACAATTGCAACGGTAACAACGCAAACATTACAAAGAACAAGGTACTGCAATACTCAATTCTATGAAAAACACGAAAAAGGAAAATACCATTTTTAGGGTTGATTAGTTACATATGTAATTTTAGTGACTACATCTGAGTAACTAAAATATTATAGTTCATCGATGAAGAAAGAAGAGAAGAAAGGGGATCGCTCCGGCACTTGTTTAAAAAACAAAACATGTATCGTGTATCGCAGCAAACAATTATATTATTTCTGTTTCGTAACAAAGAATCTCCTGGCACCCTATTTTGACTAAATACATAAATGAAATACATTTTTAGATCAATTTCTTACATGTGCTTTGAAAAAGCAGCACAGTAAATATTGCAGAACAGCTGGAATAGTTGTCGTGCCCATTAAAAGAGGTGGCTCCA